AATCATAGGGCGGTTTCTCCCACACTGTTCTCGTGGTAGTGAATATGTCTCAGGAGATCTGACGGTTTTATGAGGGGTAACCCCTTTTGCTTGGCTCTCCTTCTGTCTTCTCTCGTCTACCACCATGTGAGATGTGCCTTCTGCCTTCCTCCACGATCATGAGGCCTCTCCAGCTACGTGGAACTCCATTAAAACTCTTTCTTTTGTAAATTGCCCAGTCTTGGGTATGTCTTTATCAGCAGCATGAAAACGGACTAATACAGGCCTCTCTCCTTCCATTTAAGCAGACCCCCACCTACCCACTAAGTGGGTTCCCCGACAGCTTCCCCATGGAAAGAACTCAGACACCACCCCAAGTGCCTGAGTCCTCTATGAACCAGGACCAAGAGGATTGGGTGCTGGGATCACAGGGCCCCTGTCACCCTGGAAGCCCCAAGCTGGGCTCACCCAGGTGTGTCATGCAAGGCAGGGCAGAGGATGGACCCCTCCACTCCTATCAGCTGCCATCAGCATCCCCTCCCACCCACACAGTCCTCCAAGAGGCTGCTGGGGACTCTCCAGCTCTCTCCTTCCACTCCCCACCTCCGCACAGCCCCTCTGCACTCCCAGCTGTTCCTGCTGGCCACCCCTCCGCCCCCAGCATCCTGCAGGAAGCCCACTCCTGTCCCAGGGGCTACTGCTTAAGGCATCTGAGGTCACTTGGGGAGAGGCACTTGGCTCTGGGCCTGACATTCCCCTTGCTCAGAAGGCAGGTGCTGGGGAAATGATGTCAGAGGGGGCAGCTGGGGGCTGGGGTGCTCACAGCTCAAATGTCCCCTAATGGCCCTCCTACCTGCTCACCCTCCCACTAGGCAAGAGGCTGAGTACAGGTTCTTACCTGCCCCAGCCCCAGCCCCTTGGGCCAATCAACCATCCCTGCCCTGGAGGTACCAAGTCCTCAAGTCCTCCTGTGGGCCTCATTCCTGCTTAGAGAAGGTATCCCCAGGGGATGGGAAACCTCCCCTTGAAGGTGGTGCCAGTCCTGGAATGGGCGGCTTGGGGAACAAGCTCACTGTGTACGTGATAGCATCTGGCTCCCACAATAGCACTGGGAATGAGGAATAAGAGTCCCCATTTTCCAGATGAGACTAAGAGAGGTGAAGTCGCACAGCCCATCACATCCAGTGGCAGCTGCTCTGATTCTACTTGATTTCAGTTAGGAAGGGGATTGCCAGGGCAATGGCTGATTCCTGTACTGTGGCTGGAGGGGACGGGGCTGAGCGGTGAACACTTCCTCCCACTTTCCTGTTTGTTCAGCGCACTGTTCACTCTACTTCCTTCCACAGGATGGGGCCTTGGATGGGCCCCAGGGATACCACAGCAACACTTGGCTTCGACTGTGCTGTCAGCAGTCGGCAGTGTGTGCTGGTATGTACCTGTGTACGTGTGGGAGGGTGTACTGTGTGCATGCATGTGCTGTGTGTGCACGTGTGTCCTGGTGCATCAGTTGTGTGCAAGAGTCTCTATACTCATCAGAATGCAGGTGCCATGTGGGCAGGGGTTTGTGTGTGTTCACTGCTGTGTTCCTAAGATCCTAGAACTGTGCTTCACAAATAGTCTGTGCCATTAAGTATTCATGGGATGAATGAATGAATAAATGGATAAACCTTAGCCTACAGCCCTAAAGACCCCAGAGAACAGCCAGACATTTGCCCCGAGGCAGCATGGCAGCTTGGGTCTCTGTCCCTCTGCAGAGGAGAAAGGCGATGGGAGCGCTGGCCCAGGAGATGCCTGGTGGCTAGATGCTCCAGCGTCACCAGTGTGCCCCTACATACGGCTCCTCTTAGCCTGCGGGACCTGCTCACCTGGAAGACCCGGGGCAGAGGCTGGAGGCAGCTCTGCTAGGAGACAGGATGGTGGTCAGTGGCAGAGGGGGCTCTGCAGTGTAGGCCCGGGAAGGCCAGGCAGGAAGACACTTGGCTCTCCCTGTTCACTACGGGCCACCCACAGCTTAGTCTCAGGGGAGAAGAGCTGGGGACCGAGCCCTCAGGGGTCTTCAGGGCCTTGAGTGTGTGCGTGTGAGAGACAGCGCGCATGCATGTATGTGTACATGTACCAGGCTGCCATTCAGCGGTACTCACCCAGTCAGCCATGCCAGTTATTATGAATAAAATGGTGAAATATTTCCATGCCAGTTGAAAATCCCCCCGCCAGTCCAACCTCTCAGAGCTCCAGCACCTCCTGCCAATCCACATATAAAGATCCTATTCCAGCTCAGGCCTGGCTTCCATTCCCATTGGTCAGTGGCCATGTCAATCAGTGCTCCCCAAAGTCCAGCTTCCTGGACACATCCTAGGCACTGTCTCTAACACCCTTTGCCCCAGCCATTCTTCCTGCCTGCCCCAGGGAGCTGTCAAGGAGCACCTTTGTACCCTCCTCCACACAGTACCCATGTACCAGTCCTCTGGGCCTGGCAGAGCCCTTGGCAGGACAGATGGCAGCCCACAGAGGGCCCAGGGAGGGCAGCTGGAAGGTGTGGAAGCCCCAGATGGGCGTGGGATGGATTAGCGGCTGCAGGGACGATTCCAGGTGTTAGATAGACATGGGTCTACGTTCCCTCTCTCCCAAAACCTCGTAGGTCAGAGGTAAGTGGGGTGCTAAAACTGGGTGCTCCCCAGGAGGTTGAAATGAGGAACCCAGCAGGCTCAGAGCTCACAGTGACCAGATTTCACAAAAGCGAGGGTCAGGGCCTCACAACACCACATGTCCTGAGGCTGTTCTGGGACATGAGAGGGCAGGAGCCAGTGGAGCCAGGAGGATGGTCTTTGAAGTCAGATACATGGGGTTCAAATCCTGGCTCCGGCCACTTCCAGCTGTGAGCTCTGGGCAGGATGGACATGACAGAGGAAGCTTCGCTAACCTCTGACGTTTTCTCAGTCCTCTATTTTGCAAACAGCTTTGAGCCCACCCTCAGCCTGCCAGGCCCTGGGTCGCACAGGAAGATGGAAATGGACCTGGACTCAAATTCAGGTCCCCTTGCTCCCAGTGAGAAAGCATTTATGAAAAGACACCCAATAGCTCTCTGCTACCCTTCCTGAGGGTGGAGACTGTGGGGGGCCAGGGAAGTCAGGCCAGGTGGAACCATCAACATTTCCCTCTCCTCCCCCATCCCAGAGGGAGGCGGCCAAGGCCACAGGCGACCCCACTGCTGACACCTCCTCAGCTGCCACATGCGCTGGGAGGTCAGCACATGGCTTGGGACAGACATTACTCCAGGTCTGAGAATCTTCCGGAATCACCGTGAAGGGGTGCAAATAGGCAGATTCCTTGTCGCCATCCCAGATCTGCAGTGCCAGAATCCTTGAGCCTTGGAATCTGCATTTTCACAAGTGCTTCCACTGGAGTGGGATGCCGGCAGGCCCGGGTTTGGTGAGACTGGGAGTAACCACGGAACCTTTGGGCTCTGCCGGGCTCCTAGGCTGAGGCTGCAGCGCCGCCTGGTGGTCCCCGCTGAGACACCACTCTAGCCGCTGCCCCGCCCGGCCCCACTGCAGGGAGACAAGAGTTCTGCTGCTGGCCGGCTCCTCCAGAAATGAGAGGAGAAGGCGGGGCAAGTGCCCTCTGGGCTTCATGACGCTGGGCAAAGGGCATGCTGGGGCTCAGTCGTCAGAGCCGTGCACAAGTAAGAACTAGCTTCTTTTTTCTCTTTTCTTTTCTCTCTCTGTCTGTTGTTTCTTTCTTTTTCTTCCTTCCTTTCTTTTTTTGACAGATTCTCGCTCTGTTGCCCAGGCTGAAGTGCAGTGGCACAATCTTGGCTCACTGCAACCTCCATCCCCCGGGTTCAAGCAGTTCTCCTTCCTGAGCCTCCTGAGTAGCTGGGATTACAGGCGTGCACCACCATACTCGGCTAATTTCTGTATTTTTTTTTGAGAGATGGGGTTTCACCATGTTGGCCAGGATTGGACTCGAACTCCTGACCTTAAGTGATCCACCTGCCTCAACCTCCCAAAGTCTCACATTTCATGTTAAAAAGTCCCCTGAATTCTGCACATCTTACTCTAACACATTTCTTTAGTATGAAAATGCTTCCTTCCACAAATCTTTGCAAAAATGATGCTCTAGAAAGCGAGACCAAGTTGATCCTGTGGCCCCTGTCCCCCATCACCAGCCCACATTTTGTGTACCTTCTGGGGGCATCCATACCCTAGTTTCAGAAGCGGGAATGGAGAGATACAATCTATACCTCTCTTAGCACCAAATCAAACTCCAGGCACCCCACCGTGCAGGCAGGCCCATCAGAGCCTGGCCCATCACCGTCCTAAGATTCAGGCTGCAGAGGCAGATGCCTGCGGGGAGGGCAGAGCTGTGAGGGGCCCAGCAGTCTCCAGCAGACCCAGCCACTCTGCTCACACCCTCTGCCCTGGGTCCTCCCCTGCCCCAGGAAGCAGCATCCCTACCATTCCAGACTAGACTGTTATAAATCTTCTTTAATAGTCTTAGAATCTTGAGTGTGTTTTACAGAATGGTACACACAGAGCCCCCTCCCCTCTCCCCCCTACAAGGCACAGCCTCACCCACCCCACTCCCCAGGGGCCAGAGGACAGCTTGCCAAGAAAGGCCAGCCCACCTTCTCCCAGGAGAAGCCATCCTCCTCCTCCCTGTCCCTGGACAGCTCAGGACCCTGGAAAACACAGGGCCAGCTCTGTGCCCTGCCCCCAAGGACTCACCTGTCCCTAAGCAGCTCAGGGCCAAGCCAGATCTCGTTACCCAGGCAGACCCCCTCCGACCCAGCTCCCCTAAGCCCTGTCCCCAGGGCATGGCCCAGGCTAATCTGAGCTGTCTAGATGGACCTGCATCAGGCCTGGGGAAGGGGTGCTACCCCTTAATATCAGGTAAAACCCACCGTCTCCCACTGCCTTCAATATAATTGTGAAAAAACAAAGATATAAATGTCATAGTGGAAATAAGTTGACCCACCCAGTAGGCAGTCTCCTGATAGCCCAGGGTGCCTTATCTAACGCCCCCCCTCCCAATTTTTAATACAGTTGCCCCCTATACAATATACACACACCCTTGAGGGCAGGTAGAAGTCCAGCCCACCTGCGCCAGGGACGCTGTGGGGAGCGTTTTTCTCTGAGTTGCTAAGAGAACCCTGATGAGCAGTGAGCAGAGGAACCATAGAACAGCCAGGGCTCAAGGCTGACAGCGGATAGGCCAGGAGAGATCGCCAGGCCCCAGAAAGCCCCCTACTTTCAGTCAGGGTGGGCAAGGGGGTCTTTGCAGTGAGGTGGGAGGCGGGCCTGGAGGAGGGAGCCAGGGAGACCCCTGGGAGCCCTGAGGTCAGGGGCCGGGCAGGGAGATGTGGACAGCAGCTGCCTCAGTACTTGGGGACCTTGCTGTAGTCTTCGGAATGGACGTGCCGGCACAAGCAGATGGACAGGACCATCCCCAGGAGCTGTGGGGAGAGGCGGAGAGTCAGAGGGAGGCTGGGCTGTCCTGGTCTCAGATGTCCCAGCCCCGCCATCCAGGTTTAGATGTGGATTAAGTGGATCCTCAACTTGAGCCTCACAACCACCCTGTGATGCAGGCAGTAGAGGTAGGCCCAGAGAGGTGCAGTGCCTTGTCTGAGGTCACACAGCCAGACAGTGCTCAGGCCAGAGGGCCTCTGGAAGCTGATGGGGTGCTGGGGCCCTTGGCCACCACCTCCCCGAGGAGAAAAGCAGGGCAGAGACAACCCAGGAGGACCAGGGATGGAGAAGGGCTGGGGGAGGGGGCTCAGACCTCAATGACAGCCACGCCCACGCTCACGCCGAGGATGATGCCCAGGTTCTCCTGCAGCCACGCCTGCACCTTCTCCATGCAGCCCTGCAAGGGGAGAACACGGTCACACCACCCCACCCTGCACCATCCCGCCCCACCATGCAGAACCACCGAGAGCCCCCCAGTCCCAGCCTGGACGGGTTCTGCCTGTTCCTTGAATGAATACATTAACAAAGAAGTAGATGAAGGTACAAATGACAGGTGAATCAAGGGAAGGAACTAAATGGAGGAAGGAAGAGCTGAGCAGTAGCCCAGACGGCCCCCAACACCCTCAGATCCCAGCCCCCAATCCGCAGCCCCCCCGCCCACCGCACACCTCCTGGTACACAGGCCACTCCTCAGTTTTGTTGCCACTCCGGGTCCTGTTGCCCGCAGTCTCGCAGAAGCCCTTCCTCATGGAAAGGCTGTTGTCCTCTTCCCCTTTGTCTTCGCAGGAACAGGGGTAGGTGACCTCAAAGCGATTCATGAGCTCAGCGTTGTCCGTCCAGTTGTAGAAGCTGGCCCAGCCGCAGCACTTCACCTGGGCGAGGCAGGGGACACACTGCTTATGCTCACTGCCCACCGCAGGCAGGCTGCCCTCCTGGCAGAGGCGGGGCCTCCCCAGGACAGAGACTCAGATATGCCACTTCCAGGCCCCTGGTCCCAGCCGAACCATCACAAACTACAAGTACAGCAGAAAAATCAAAACCAGGATCAGCAAAAATACAAAGCAGAGTAGGAAGGAAGTTCAAGTTGAAGGAGCGCAGCTGTGCAGCGCACAAGGAGAATGGACGGCAGACCGTTCACACTGCAGGGTGTAAAGTCAGGCTACTGGGTTATAATCCCCGCCCTGCCACCTACCAGCTGAGCAACCTCCGTCAAGGAAATAGCCTCAGTTTCCTCATCTGTAAATGGGGATAATTAAAATTCCCAACTTGCAGGGCTATCACAAGGACTAAATGGGATGAGTCAGGCAAAGTGCCCAGCAGAGGTGTGGGGAGCACAGTAAGCTTAGGAAAGGCTGTTTGACTTTAGAGCAGGAGTTGAGATTTGCCTCTGAGCTTCCTGGTGAAAAGGAGAAAAAGTAAAAAGTGAAAAAGGATACAGCGTCAATTCTGCTTTTTTTTTTTCTTTTTTTCTTTTTTCTGAGGCAGAGTCTTGCTCTGTCACCCAGGCTGGAGTGCAGCGGCGTGATCTTGGCTCACTGCAACCTCCACCTCCCGGGTTCAAATGATTCTCCTGCTTCAGCCTCCTGAGTAGCTGGGATTACAGGCACTCACCATCCTGCCCGGCTAATGTTTGTATTTTTAGTAGAGATGGGGTTTCACCATGTTGGCCAGGCTGGTCTTGAACTCCTGACCTCAAGTGATCTGCCCGCCTTGGCCTCCCAACGTGCTGGGATTACAGGTGTGAGCCACCTCGCCCGACCGGTCAATTCTGCCACTTTAAAGGAGAAAATGCTCTAGTTCTAGAGAGAAGAAAGCCTTTCTGGGCTCTGTGTGCTAAAGGAGGTCTCTGTGTGCAAATCCCCGCAATGCTGGGGGTTCCTGGGAGGATTCAGTGGGATAGCCATGGTCACAGCAGGGGTCAGTTCCTGGACCGCTTCCTTCCTATCTCCGGATGTTGCCCGACCAATAGCCAGTGGACAGCAGGGGGCGTACCAGGCACACCCAGAAATGCTCAGCTCCAGGCCATTTCTAATCCAGCTTTTACAGGCACTTGTTCCAGCAGGCTGGCTGCCTCCTCTCTCGAACAAAAGGCTGGCACCTCTGAGGGGTGCACAGGTCTGCAAGCTGGGGCCACGCACAGGTCATCCTGCACCAGAGCAAAATAAGGCAGGTCTCCTTGGCCCGTCTGTGGCAGAGCCTCCTCCCAAGCAACGCTTTGCCCTGACCCTGGCTGTACCTGTTCCCCAGCAGCACATGCCATCTCCGCCTGTGTCTCCACGGATGTGCATGGTGACTAAAACATCACCACCAACTTAGCACATAATAAATGCTGCCTAAGTGCTGGAGGCTTTAACAATGTATCTCACACGGCATGGGTCAGTAGACCCACTGTATAAACAAGGAGACAGGCTCAGCAAAAGTCTAGTGGCTGTGGCAGTGTTAGCACTCCAGGCCTTGGGAGTCTCACTTACCACCAGCCCAAGCAGCATCTGACAGCATCGGAATCATCTAGAACCAGCCAATGACTTTCCAGGGTAGGATGCTCACCACCTCCCAAGGGACCCACTTCTCCTCCCAGGTCCCTTGTCAGGTGGCGCTGGTTTATGTCATTGGTGACATCAAGACTTTGCTAAAATTAGCAAAGTCTCAGCAATTATGGGTCAAACTACATAGGCGACCAAAACATTTCCCTGTGTGAACCAAGCCTTCCAGCTGCCACGACCCCCACGCCTGATCTCCTATGTCAGGGCCAGAGAACATCGCTCTCCCCTTCCCCCGCTCAGAAGATGGCCAAGTCCACGCCGCCTAGATGGAGTGTCCTATCTGCAAACTCTCCTGGTGCCCCAGAGTCAGGCTTTCTCCTGCTGCCCATGCCCCTTATACCCCACAGCCCTCCCCTGAGGAGTCAACACCTCAGGGACCTCCCCTGAGGCCCTACGTGATCACTGTGTCCCGCGCCCTCACAGATTGCAGATCAGAGACGGCAGGGTCCAGCCAAGGGCACACACAGCATCCGGGACCACAAGAAAGGAGAGCCAGGTGGTCACTGGATCACTATGCAGACAGGCTGGGAACCTGGTCAGTCTATCTGTTGGTCAGTCGGGCAGTCCATCCATCCGTCCACCCACCCATCCACCCATCTATCCATCTCTCTCACTTTAACGGAGGTCTAATACACGTGAACTAATGGGCACACGTTCAGCTTGGTGCATTTTTACGTATGTGCACATACTGGTGAAACCAGTATCAAGATTTGGCTAGAATACTCCTTTCACCCTAGAAGGTTCCCTCAACACCTCCCCAGCTAGTGCCCCTCCCGGAGGCAGCCTCCACTGGGACTTCTCACTGCTACTTGGCACCCAGTTTCCTGAAACCCAGGGTGGAGCTCCCAACGCTCCCCAGTGTGGCTTGAGATAAGAGGGCTGACAACTGCCCCGTGCTCTCTGGCCACAAATGGGAGCACCGAGTTATGAAGCTGTCTCTGAGTCTCTGGGCCCCCGAGCAGCGAGCTGTGGTGCTAACTGGGGTGCCCTGCCCCCATAGAAGCACACTATCCTACAAACTGTCAGGCACACACGAGCACTGCAGATGCCAGTCCCAGACACGCGGGTGCACAGAGTCCCCAAATTCAGGGCCACCCAGGCGAAAGAGCCTCCCACAGCCGCGCCCCACCTCACCTGAGCCTGCACGTAGTCCCAGGCGTCCTGCAGGCTGTCCTCGCGACTGCTGTTGTAATCTCGAATGAGCTCCATCACGATGCCGCCCATCTCCTGCTTCAGCTGCAGGGCAAAGGTCAGGGTCAGATTTCCTGAAACCCGTGCCCACCTGTGGTCACCGCTACTTAAACTGCCTCCCCCCTGTTCCCTTCAGCAACCCTGTGACATGCTCATGGCTCCAACCACTTTCCTGGCGCTCCCAGGGTGCCCGATGCAGGCAGTGCCAACCACTCCTGCCCCACTGTCTCTTCTGCGCTCGGCAGCAGCCTGGCCCTGTAAACATCAATATTCTCCTGTCACTGCCGAAAACCCTGTAGGGGCCCCCACCACCAAGGCAGTTCCCATCATCAGTGTCCTCGTAACAGCCTAGGAGGCCCTACGCCACTTGTCTGTCCTCCCTGGACCTTGTGTCCTCTGTTCTTGCTCCCTCTGCTTCAACTCTGTGGATTTCCAAGCTGTCTTTGTGCCAGGCACACTCCTGCCTCAGGGCCTTTGCACCTGCTGTTCCCACCGCCTGGAATGCTCTTCCCCCAGACATTAACATGGCTCACCCTCTGCTTCCTTCAGGGCTCTGCTCCAATGTCACCTCCTCAGAAAGGCCTTACTAGACCACTCTACAAAATACCAGCCCTTCCCCATCCCCTCTCCCTCCACCAATCAATCAACCCCCCTCCCCTGGCCTCCCTTCTCCCACAAGGGAAAGCATGCTGTATTTTTCTTTAGAGCACTGACGTTACATGCTTGTTAGTTTTCAGGGCTTATCATCTCTCTCCACTAGCACATCAGCTCCATGGGGGCAGGGACCACATCTGGCACGCTCACTACAGGGTCCCCCATGGCCAGCGCCAAGCCTGGCACAGAATAGGTGTGCGGGGTACGTGAATGCTGAATGCACACCTAACCACCGCGGTCTGCCAGGCACCAGAGCCAGACCCATGCAACTTCTTGGTGAATCCTTATGCCTCCCACAGCGCAGCTGCAGGGAGAAGGAGGGAGGAGAGCCCAGCTCAGCTTCCTTCTTCCAAGGACCAGAGTGCAGCCTCTCCAAACAGGGCCCCCAAGGGTAGATGCCTGGAGGGGGCCCCAAGACTGGGGGACCTGGAACTTCGGCATCAACTATGTGATCAAAAGATCCTCCTTCTATGCAGGCATGGTGGCGGGTGCCTGTGATCCCAGCTACTCAGGAGGCTGAGGCAGGAGAATTGCTTGAACCCAGGAGGTGGAGGTTGCAGTGAGTCTAGATCGCACCACTGCACCCCAGCCTGGGTGACAGAGTAAGAGTCCATCTCAAAACAAAACAAAACAAAACAGAACAGAAAAGATCCTCCCTCACCCTTTCCCAAGCCCTCAGCCAGCAGCGCCCGCCAGCCGGAGTGTGAGGTCAGCTGCTTTTCTGGGACATGGCTGCTTGCCCCAGAGCTCCAAAAAAATCTTTTTTTTTTTTTTTTTAAGACAGGATCTCCCTGTCACCCAGGCTGGAGGGCAGTGGCAGGATCTCAGCTCACTGCAACTTCTACCTCCTGGGTTAAGCAATCCTCCCACTTCAGCCTCCCAGGTAGCTGGAGCTACAGGCGCGTGTCACCACGCCTGGCTGATTTTTGTATTTTTAGTGGAGACAGGGTCTTCCCACGTTGCCCCGGCTGGCCTCGAACTCCTGACCTCAAGTGATCCACCCACCTCGGCCTCCCAATGTGTTGGGATTACAGGCCTGAGACCCCACGCCTGGCCCAAATCTACATCTTGCCTACACTGATCCTCACCCTGCTCAAGAATTGAGGGTCACTCTCATTGTGGTGGAGAGCAGCACCTGCTCTCGGCTAACCCCACAGAGAAAACCCTGATGTACAAAGCAGGCAGAAGGGGGGGTTTTGAAATAAGTCAGTTGTGCAAAGGGAGGCAAACCCAGAGCTAGCTGAGGGCAGGGCCTCCCTCGGCAATAAGCAGACCTGGGTGGGAGGGGGGCCTCGGAGAGCCAGCCCCTGCCTGTCTCCACCTCACCTCTCAAACGGACCTTGCCCAGAGGCCTTCCAGGGCACATGCATGGATGGGCTGGTCATGGCAGTGGGAAGCCCCAGGGTGAGGGACTCTAGAAGGCAGGGATGCCAAGGAGAAGGCCACACACCTTCCCACCTTGGTTCCCGAGAAGGAAGAATTGGGAGAAACGGGATAGGTACTTCTAGATGGGGTTTTAGAGCCTGACTCCCAGGGAACCCTGTGGGTGGGGCTTCCTGCAGCTCCCCACAGGCAGCCCTCGAATGAACATTGTGCTCAGAAAACTCATATCCTGCAGATGGACCTGCAGCCCTGGCTCCTCACTCTTGGTTAAATTAATGCTGGGGCCGGGCATGGTGGCTCATGTCTGTAATCCCAGCACTTTGGGAGGCCGAGGTGGGCGGATCACGAGGTCAGAAGATCGAGACCATCCTGGCTAACATGGTGAAACCCCATCTCTACTAAAAAAAATTACAAAAAATTAGCTGGGCTTGATGGCAAGTGCCTGTAGTCCCAGCTACTTGGGAGGCTGAG